AGAGAGAGAGAGAGAGAGAGAGAGAGAGAGAGAGAGAGAGAGATTCCCGCCCCCCACAGAATCCCTGATTTTTACTAGGCATTGTGAACCCACAACGTTCTTCATTCTTTCATCTGCTCCTATTGCCTGAGTGCTTTGCATAATGTAGTAGGTTTGGAAATAAAGAGAAAACATTTTAAATATAATGAATGAATAAAGCTGTTATATGGTAATATTCTAAATGAACAGGGTGATCAGGGCAGTTTTCATTCCAAAACCAGGCTTGAAGCCTGGCATACTGGATCTAGATGATCCATTTTATTCAAGGGTGTCTGGAGACATTCAGCAATTATCTGCTCAAGCAGCTTGGCCAGCAAGGAGATGTTGGCCATTTGTCTGTAGTTATTAACACCTTTTGGGTCCAGGTTAGGTTTTTTTCAGGAGTGGCTTAACTACTATCTTTTAGAGAGGCTGTTATTTCTCCTTCTCTCAAGGTGTTTACATCCCCCTAGACCCAGGTAGAACTCTCTTCCTTAATTATTGTAAAAAGCCGTGGGGGCATGGATCGAACACACAAGGGTAGACCAGACTTGACCAAGCACCATATCCACATCCTCAAGCCTCAATAACTTAAGTTCATCCACTAAAACTGGACCATACGGTACTCTGGAGCTGCATTAATTGTGACATCTAATTCATGACTAATCCAAGTGACTTAATCTTCAAATTTATCAGTGACTTTATCTTGGAAAATCCATTACAGTGAGCTACCAAGTATTCCACAATTTCTTTCTCTGGCCCAGTATATAATAGGCTACAAACCACTCAGAAAAGTTCCACTGGATGATGCTGAGAACATGCAATGGTGGTGGAAAAGAATTGCCATAGGAAAGGCCTGATAATGAGCTATATTATATGTTCAGTTGGGCTAAGCATGAGTTTATCTCCACTTGTGCTCTAGCTCTCTCCCCTCTTGTTTCATTGCCTTTAGCTTGGGTATGTATGAAGGAGCTGGCCAAGCTCTGCTCAAAGGTCCATACTGTAGGTCGACAATTTCTTAATTAAGAGAGCTGTAGCTATACCACCTTCAGTGGGATGTAACTCAGAAATGGCGGGACAAAAAGTGCTCCTGCTTTAATGTTTGGCACAGGACAATTGAGTATCTAGATAGGTGGTGGGGAGCCATCACTTCTGTTATAAAGCATCATTACTCTGGAACTGTTAAAACTTTAGGTCAGGAACTAGTAGTAACCTAAATGTGTTGGAAGCCACCCAATGCTTTCAGAATAGATACAGATGGAATTTAAGAGGCCAAATACATGAATTTGGGGGGCAGGGAACAATAACAAGGACTATTGTCATGATCTGGCAACATTTTTTCTAATTTTATTTATAATTTATTTTTTTATAAAATTTGTATGCCATCCATTACTTGCGTCTCTGGACAGCTTACAACATAATTCTGTTGTTCAAATCAGTAACAAAAACAAGCTACAGGCCAGTGCTTTAAAAAATCAGGACAACCTTAACATTTAGCGGAAACAAAAGCAGAGAGCAAGAAGAGACCAAAATAAAATGTAAATAGTGTTAGTAGAGTAATAAAAAAAAAAATAACAAAATGTGTATAGGGGAAGCAGCTGCTGTTATAATTTTGTTAATTGTTTCCAAAGATTTAAATGATTTCAAAAGAAATCAAGTGAGTGTGTAGTGATTTTTATATTTTGGGTGAATGTGAAACTAGCTTGCTTGATTTACTGAGAGTACAGTGGATCTTTCTAAACCAGAAATGGTAACTTTCTGGTTTCCTATTGTAATTCCTCCTTACTTTCTTTGTTCTGGGGTTGTTGTTGTTGGTCGAGAAGTCGTGTCCGACCCATCGCGACCCCATGGACAACATTCCTCCAGGCCTTCCTGTCTTCCACCATCCCCCGGAGTCCACTTAAGCTCACACCAACTGCTTCATTGACTCCATCTAGCCACCTAATTCTCTGCCGTCCCCGTCTTCTTTTGCCATCTGTTGTTCCCAGCATTAGGCTCTTCTCCAGGGAGTCCTTGCTTCTCATTAGGTGGCCAAAGTATTTGAGTTTCATCTTGGGTATCTGGTCTTCTAAAGAGCAGTCAGGGTTGCTCTCCTCTAGGACTGACTGGTTTGATCGCCTTGCGGTCCAGGGGACTCACAGGAGTCTCTGCCAGCACCACAATTCAAAGGCTTCAATCCTTCGGCGCTCAGTCTTCCTTATGATCCAGCTTTCACAGCCATACATTGCAACTGGGAAAACCATAGCCTTGACTATACGCACTTTTGTTGGCAGGGTGATGTCTCTGCTTTTTAGTATGCTGTCTAGATTTGCCATAGCTTTCCTCCCCAGAAGCGTCTTTTAATTTCTTGGTTGCAGTCCCCATCTGCTGTGATGTTGGAGCCCAGGAAAATAAAAGCTGTCACTACCTCCATTTCTTCCCCATCTATTTGCCAGGAAGTGAGAGGACCAGATGCCATGATCTTAGTTTTCTTAATGTTGAGTTCCAAGCCAACTTTTGCACTCTCTTCCTTCACCCACATCAAGAGGCTCTTTAGTTCCTCTTCACTTTCTGCCATGAGAGTGGTATCATCTGCATATCTGAGGTTGTTGATATTTCTCCCGGCAATCTTAATTCCAACTGGTGATTCATCTAGCCCTGCCTTTCTTATATGATGTGCTCTGCATATAAGTTAAATAGGCAGGGCGACAGTATACAGTCTTGCCGAACTCCTTTCTCAATTTTGAACCAGTCAGTGGTTCCGTGTCCAGTTCTCACTGTTGCTTCTTGACCTACATATAGGTTTCTCAAGAGACAAATAAGATGGTCTTGGACTCCCATCTCTTTAAGAACTTGCCACAATTTGTTGTGATCCACACAATCAAAGGCTTTAGCATAGTCAATGAAGCAGAAGTAAATGTTTTTCTTGAACTCCCTAGCTTTCTCCATGATTCAGCGTATGTTGGCAATTTGATCTCTAGTTCCTCTTCCTCTTCAAAATTCTGCCTGTACTTCTGGTAGTTCTCGGTCCACACACTGCTGGAGCCTAGCTTGTAGGATTTTGAGCATAACTTTGCTAGCATGTGAAATGAGTGCAATGGTGCAGTAGTTTGAACATTCTTTGGCATTGCCCTTCTTTGGGATGGGAATGTAAACTGACCTTTTCCAATCCTGCGGCCACTGCTGAGTTTTCCAAATGTGCTGGCATATTGAGTGTAGCACTTTTACTGCATTGTCTTTTAAGATTTTGAATAGCTCAGTTAGAATAGTGTCACCTCCACTAGCTTTGTTGTTGCTCAGACTTCCTAAGACCCATTTGACTTCACATTCCAGGATGTCTGGCTCGAGGTCAGTGACCACCCCATCATGGTTATCAGGGTCGTTAAGCTCTTTCTTGTATAGTTCTTCTGTGTAATCTTGCCACCTCTTCTTAATCTCTTCTGCCTCTGTTAGGTCCCTGCCATGTTGGTCCTTTATCATACCCATCTTTGCATGAAACGTTCCCTTCATATCTCCAATTTTCTTGAAGAGATCTCTGGTCCTCCCTATTCTATTGTTTTCTTCTATTTCTTTGCACTGTTCATTAAAGAAGGCATTCTTATCTCTTCTAGCTATTCTCTGGAATTCTGCATTCAGTT